CTACTACTACTACTACTACTACTACTACTACTACTACTACTACTACTATTACTACTACTACTATTACGACTACTACTACTATTACTCGTCCTCGTCCTCGTACTCGACGTTACTCTACGTCATCCCTTTCCTTTTCTACCCCCTGAACACCCCGCCGACGCCGACACCGATGCCGACGTCTCCAACTCCTGCTCTCTTCCACCCTTGCAATCCCTTTCGCGCCAACTCCCATCCACCATCTGCTCTCTCTCTCGCTCGCTCGAGCAACGCGTCTACAGGATATTTTTAAGGAAAATTGACCGACCTTCCGACTGCCTTTCTTGCTTCGCAGCTTCTTCCTTGCTCGCCGCACCTGTCTCCTAGCTTCCCTCCCCTTCCCCGCCGCCGCGGGAAACAGCCCGAGGAATTTGTTAATAAATAAATTCGACATCTCGGAGAGAGATAGATCGCCGCTCCCGTCGGCGAGCATATTCGCGAGCCCTTCTTCCAGCGACGGATCGAAAGTTGATTTTTCGATTCCGCCGAATTCAAAATTTTGCTCTCTCGAAACACGGAACGCTTATTCTTTTTCCTTTTCTTTTTCTGTTCTCGTTTTCGAAACGGAAAAATAGAGGAACGTGTTCCGAGGAACTCGAAGCTTTCCGGGTGTCTCGAGGGCTTTTTTCGAGCGTCCCGTCTCGATCTTTTTCTCTTTTTCTCGCGAGATCGTCTCGCCTCGCCTCGCCTCGCCTTGTCTCTTTGTTCTCGCGACGATAAGTAAATTCATCCCCGAAATCAGATTTCTCCGCGCTCAAAGCGCGTGTCTCGAGGTTCGCGACCGAAGACGGAGGAGCCGTGGACGCGTCTTGCTCGCGGCACAAACCCCCGCCTCGGGGGTTCAACTGTTTACGCGATGCGTGCACCCTTCAGCGTTCTTTAAAAGAACGCCCGGCCAATTCCGTCTCGCTAAATTTTCGGGCTTCCAATTCCCCACGCTCTTCTCGCTCGCTATCTCTCCATCTCAATCTCTCTCTCTCTCTCGCGCTCTTTTTCTAGCGCGCTCTCTCTCTCGCTCTTTCTCTCGCGCTCTCTCTCTCTCTTCCTTTCTCTTTCTCTCTTTCTTTCTGTCTACTCGCTCTCGGATATTCGAATCGGTTTATCCAAAGCTCGGGGCGCGCGCGTTCAATCCTTTTTCTCTCGAGTTTTCGGCAGCAAACCCGAGAATCTCGGGATAAACGGCCGGCATAGAATTTTCAGAACCGGAATTCCTCTCGACGGATCCTCCTGGGGTCCCGGTTCCCGGTGCGTTACCCTTCCCGTCGCCCCAGTCCCTCGGCTGGCTCTGTCTGCTCTCTATCGCTGCCATTCTTCCCTTTTATCCGTCTTGGGGGGGCACGGTTTGCCGGATCCTCCTCGCCTCCACCCTCTCGGAGATATATAAACGTTCCGTCAGCCCTGCCCATTTATTGCGTTACACGCGTATCGGGGACCATCGTTCCACGGGTCCTCTCGACCAGCCCGCACAGATACGCTTCCCTCTCGATCCTTTCACCTTTCGCAATTTTTTTTTATTCCTCTTCTTTTTTAAAACCATCATCTCTCTCTCTCTCGCTCTGTCTCTTCGTATCTGTCCACATCGGCGAATAAAGAAAATGTGCGGAATAAAATCAGATTATTCCATTTCTTAGAATAACAGCAGCAGCCGAAGCATCTTTTATTTTCTATCATTTCTAAAATTCGTTCAGGTTATATTCGTGTGTAACTTCTTTCTCCGTTTTAGAACCGCTTCTTTCGAAACAGGGGTGGCCAAACTTTTCATCGCTGCGGGCGGCCTGTTTCTTTTTAAATTATAGGCGGCGGTCACTTCTAGACTATTTCTGCTCAATGTGAGATTGCATTTTAACGCGAGTATTATGACGAGTTCCTATATTAATCATTTCCTAGAATTTTGTCCGCCAGTGTCTCTCTTTCGAGGGCTCTCTCTTTCTCTCCTGCGCTCTTTCTCTCTCTCTCTCTCTCGTTCTCTCTTTCTCGCGCTCTCTCTTTCTCTGTTCGCCTTTTCGCCGCTCCCCCCCCGACACCGCGCTCCGTTCCTAGAAGCCACGCTCGTTCCATTTCTGCATGCATTATTCAGTACCATATACAGTGGAACGGTTCGTGACGGGCTAACTGGCGCGGCGCACCACCGGAAGTTAGTCAAACGAGCAGGCCCGAGTGCCCGTGGATCGTCGCGTCTCCACGGATACACCGTCTGCTGATTTCCAACGGCCTTCTCCGATCGAATCATCCTTCGCCTCCTCCTCCTCCTCCACCTCCTTCTCCACCACCTCCTCCTCCTCCTTCTTATTCTACTTGATTCATCTTCCTGGCTCGCGGCTTGTTTCTTTCGTCGGAACGAGCTTCGCGAAAAATCGCACCGCGAGGACACGTGGTTACTTGTAAAACAGTCCGTTGGCGAAGACGGGTCCGTCTGGACCTGTACACGGTACACGATACGGAACCGTTGAAATGTTTGAAAGCGACCCAAGTCCATTTTGAATAATTTTATTTACTTGCGATCATTCGAGCCTTGCACCTCGGTTTTTATAATCGTTGACGATTATAATATTTTAATTATATCGCTATAAGATTGTGTTATAATATATTTCTTAGGCTATATAAATTGTAACTATAAAAATAAGTCGCGAGACTTGAATAGCTTCTCCAAAGCTCGCTAGCCTCTTCCCAAATTGTTCACTCCTGCTTGAAAGGTCAAGGAAAATTGGGAATCGTATCTCCTCTTCCCAAACTGTCCATTTCCGTGGACGATCCGAGCGTCAATTAGGGAGAATTCATTTGACACGCGTATAATTTCATTTCAGCGAAGCCTTTAGATCACAATTGCTCTTGGAAACACGAAAACATTATATCACCGCGTTATTATTATCAGTTAGCAATATTTTTCAGTTCATTAGAACGCAAAATCCTTAAATATTCGGATTTTAAAATAAATGAACTTGGGCCGCTTTCAAAACGAAACGACTCCGTATATTCGTCGAGATGTGACACGTGTTCTCCGCGGAGATTGCGCAAACGCGTAAATAATAATAAATGTTATACGATATTCGTACTTTACGATGTAACACTTCTCGATAATGTAATAGTTATTTCTTTTTCTCTTTAACATTAATACTCAACTCAATGCGTGATATTGTCTTGTAAGAAAATTTTGGGAACGAGTACCATAATATTCTATAAATGTAGAATTTGCCACACCCCTATCCGAACCAGAGATTATTAACGACTATAACTCGTCGATTGTTGTAACTGATTCATAACGATCGGGCTAAAACGTAATCCGATTAAACGATCTACGATCGCGACTCTCTTCGTTATTGTAACGAAGCTTTAATCGATTGCAATTACACGATTATAACTCGTTGGCGATTACGAACGATTAAAGATCGGTTCTAATAACGAACCGGTCGCGATCGTTGATCATTTAACCGTGTCACTTTATGTCGAAGCCAGCTCTGTCCGGGTAACACAAGAATAATGAACTCTCACGCACCGCGGAATCTAAACGAACCGGACTGATCCGATTAAAAAGAATTCAACCTATAATATAATTGCACCGCCGGTTTTCCTTCTTTTGCATACACGAGAAAACCGAGTAATTTAAATGCAAAGCTGTCTTGAAGTCGTTTAAAAGAATTTTACAAACACCGTTAACTTGTCCGTCGTCGACTCGTTAAAATTATTACTGAGAAAAATAAAGCGTGTACGCGTACACGTGTCTCTGTGTGTCTCTGTATCTGCTGCATCATGCAGTCGATGCGCGTAAAAATATCCACCGTCTAGAAATAACATTTCAAAATCCGATACACACGCCTATTAATAAATCCGTCATATCGGACTGTTAAAAACGACACGCGGGAACTCGTTCAGCCCGGTTCACAGGATAAAGTATACTCTTTCATCCGTATCGGTGGAGCAGGAAAAGACCGGGGCGCATTGTGGTGTAGGTGCCGGTGTTCGACACGCGTGTCGTGTTCCCCGGCGAATCGCCGCGCCGGCACACTCTTTTCTCGCGGCGCGCCTCCGCTTCCACGTCGCGTCGCCTCGTTGCATCGTGTTGTCCTGTCCCATTCGACCGGGATCCCGTCTGGAATACCCGCGTAAGAGGATACGCCGTCCTCTCGTTTGCTCGCCGGAGAGGAACTCTCGCGGTCGTGTGCCTGGCCACCGATCGAACGAGACCTTCGTCGCCGGCAACGGTGGCGCGGCACACCGCCGCGCGTCTTCGTCGTCGCCGAGCTTAATTGCCGTGCTTTCCTTTCCAGCCGGTGTCGAGTTCCCGTTCCCAGGTGTTCCCAAGGTGTGTTCCCTTGGACCTTTGTTCTCCGGCGCTTTCTCCGCCGCCGCCGCCGCCGCCCTTTCGTCGACCACCGAATTTCACCTCGGCCTTCTTCTTCATCTCTCCGCGAAAAGCTCTCTCGTCGACGAGATCCGCGGTTTAGTTCTCTCAAATTGTCCGTCGGCTGGTAAACAAGAATGGACAGCTTTGGGAGGAGGAGATACGATTGTTCGAGTCTCCGCGACTCGTTTTCATAGTCTGCTTGTAACCGTCGACAGCTGTAATTAGTATACAGGGTGTTCCAGGTTTTAATGTTCAAACTTTGTCAGTATAGAAAAAAATGTTATGTGAACATAGGTCATATAGAGCTTTATGAAGAAGTTATAACAAAAATTCAGAATATAGGATTAATAATGCGTTCAATGAAATGAAAGAGAATAGAAACGAAATTCGCACGGTCATAAATTCGATCTTCGATCGATGTCGATCATGTATTGTCAACAACGGTAGACATTTCGAAATGTATTAATAAACACAGCTTACATAAACACACGGCATGTGCTGATCTATTCAAGCCAATGCTCACAGTAACAGCAAGTTGATTACTATTCCTATTCTGAATTTTTGTTATAACTTCTTCATAAAGCTCTATATGACCTATGTTTACATAATATTGTTTTCTTACTTCGTGCCATAGAATACACTGACAAAGTTTGAACATTAAAACCTGGGACACCCTGTATAATAACTATAATAACTAATATCGCGGCGTCTCTTCTTCCCAAATTACCCATTTTTCGTTTCGGTTAAGTGTAGGTTCAGGTTAGGTTTAGGTTACCGCATTTTCTCGACGAAGGCGAACCTCGACAGAGAACTAACCTTTTACGCCAATAAATGTGACAGCTTGAGTCGCGCCTGTTATTCTTTAACTTGAATATTTGCTCTTCTCTAAATATTGCCAAAAGATATTGGATCTCTGAAAGCAGGAATTTCGTTAAAAAGCGTAACGCAAAGAACCCGTACGTGTGCATATATATTTACCGAGGTTATGTATCTATTGCCGCGAGTGAAATACCGCATATTCCGATTAATGCGTGTCAAGCTTGATATAATCCATTTTATTTTAGACGTGCACACACACACAGCTACGATTCCTGGGATATCAAGATATTCTCACTGCGGCACTTTATTAATTAGATATAGGTGCTCCACCGATCAAGCCTGTTCGCATCGACTCGTCGAGAACTGCGCTGTACAGGTTAAGGTATGTAGTTCGGTACAGCGTCGCAGTAACGTGCACACATAGTAAAAAAACTATGAGTTTTCATAAGCTTCCAAATATCAAAAGTCAATGAAATGCAATTAGAACCGCGATTGCTGTTACTTGTACGTCATAAATGATCACTATGAAACGTCTAGAAAATGATGAGATTCGTTCGTAGAAGATTACACGCTGTACAATCTTGGATTTTATTGCTTTTAGAAAATACCACAGTAACTGGGCCGTTCACAGTAACACCCTCAGTTACCCTACAAGCCGGGAGACAATTCGAGAGAGAATTTACTGTACGTTATCGTCGTCGTCGGCGGCGGCGCGCACGCAATCGGATGACGCAATAAACTCGGCCATGGTGTTTCTCGATCCTACTTTCGAGGATTCGGGCCCAGGTCGATCCTCTCGATCTCCCCGACCGCGATTTCTGACGTTCATCGAGAAAGAGAGACGGACCGTGAGAGAGAGAGAGAGAGAGAGAGAGAGAGAGAGCGAGAGCGTGTGAGAGAGAGAGCGCGCGAGAGAGAGCTCGAGAGAAAGAGAGTGCACGCGAGAGAGAGCTCGAGAGAAAGAGAGTGCACGCGAGAGAGTGAGAGAGAGAGTCGAAGGGGCTATCAGAAATTCTGGTTTCGCTATAAACAGGCTCGGCGAGGTCCCGATCCTTTGGCCGGCAGAACGCGCAAGGATTTCAGGAGCAGGACAGGGGCACCGTTGTTGCCCGTGTGTCTCGGGCCCGATGGCCCCGACGGCCCCGAGAACCGGTTCCGGCTGGATTTCACGCGACAAGGCTCTTTCTCCTTTTTCGGGGGAGAACCGAGCGAACGCAACTTCGCCGCGAGCCCCCGCGGACAGTGTCGCGCGTTATGATTGCCGGACCCATTATCAGGCCCCGTCGTAAACATCGATTACAAGCGTACGAATCGATCGTATTTCATCCTCGCTGCCCCAAGGACCCGACGTTTGCTGTACGAAGCAGAGTTCTGACACTTACAATAGACACATACCAACGTCGCGCAGAGTTGTTCCAATTGAATTACATTGTAATTCGGTTACACTGTATTTGAATTATATCGTAATTCAATTATATTGTATTTGAATTATATTGTAATTCAATCGCACTGTATTTGAATTATATTGTAATTCAATCGCACTGTATTTGAATTATATTGTAATTCAATTACATTGAGTTTGCATTACATTGTCTTTGAATTACATTCTAACTCAATCACGTGGCATTTGAACTATATCGTAATTCAATTATGCAATCGAAACCTTCGAATTAAACATTCGAATATTTTTGTACTGAAATTGTGACTGTATCAGGAGTACATCTTTCGTTTGTTCTCTTCGTCGTTCCAAGTAACAGTGAAATTCGAGCAGAGCGTTTTTTCGTCGTTGTCCGGCAAACTGATCCGTTCGAGGCGAACAAAAATACAATTCGCGTCGTTCAGTCCAGTTCGAAGGCAGTCGTGTCGCATTTTAAACGTTGTTCGAATACATTTTCTGCCACAGGTTCGTAGCGCTCGCAGCGAGTTCCGAGACACCGTTTGCGAGACACGCGGGTACTCGGAGGTCGCGTGCGATACCCGAGTGCCTCCTGGGTACCCGAGTGCCTTCTGGGTACCCGGGTGTCCCGCGGACTCGAGTAAAGGTGGCTAGAGCACCGGCGCGAAGATGGCCAGAATTTTCCGCCGGCCGGCAGACATTTCTTGAATGCCGTGCTTCCTACGGAAGCAGTGGCCCGGCGGCTGAAAAACGTGTGCCGGCTGCGGCCCGCCCAGTGACCATCCTCTCCCCCTCGCAGCCCTCCACCTTGTAAATTTGCAAGTCGGATCCCGTCTAACGCGGGGGAACAGCCGCGCGTCCGCGACGGAAGCATTTTTCGAGCGAAGAAAACGTGTCGGCGAGCTTCGCGTCGCTTCCTCTCGCGGAGCGAGAAAGCGCATTGTCTATCGAAAGTCGCCGCTTCCTTCACCGGTTCCCGTTGCAGAACGCACACCGGAAGCTGTAAGCGTCGTTCACGCTACGCCCCCCCCCCCCCTCTTTCAGATTTCCGCTCGGCTGGCTTCGAATTGATAAAACTTCCTCGCGAAGAAGAGAGATAGAGAGAGAGAGAGATGTGGAGAGGGAGGAAGAAAGCGATCGTTGTCGACGGAAATATCGAAATCGGAGCTTCTGTCGGAGATTTCGCGAGGCTTTCTCGAAACGACGACTGTCCCCTCGACCTCGTGCGGACGTGGAATCGTTCAAGGTCGCGGCTAGGATCGCTCAAGGTCGCCGTTCGCAGACCTCTCGCTCTCTCTCGGTCTCCCTCGCGCGGATATAACGCGACGGGACGCGGGTGCGGCGCGGCGCGGCCGACGCGACGCGTCGCAGGGTGGGCGCCGCGCTCGGGTTCAACGGCCGGATTACTCAAGGTCAACGGCCGCCTCGCCCGGGTCAACGACCTCCAGGCTCAAGGCCAACGTCCGGATTATTCGAGGTCAAGCGGAGGAGACCGCAAGACGCGCGAGGAAGCGGCACCGTGCACGCGTCGATCGATCGGTTTTTCTACGCGATGCGGCGCGGCGCAACGCGGCGCGTCTCGTCATCCCCTCCGCCGAGGGTGAAGCCTTCCGGAACACACCTTCTGGAACGCCGGGACGTTGCAGCGCCGGGAAAAGATCGTTCGAAGGCTGTCGAAACGATCGATCCCGTCTCCGGCCCCGTCGAAACCCGCGAGAAGAAGGAGCGTCGTTCGCACCCTCCCCCCGCGGAATCAACGGGTTCGAGGAGGACACGTCCAACCGCGCGATACTCGAAATACAGCAATTTCTCTCGGCAATGCGAAATTTCGTGTTGCTGTGAATTTTCTTGGGCTGCTCGTACGCCTATGCAATTTGTTGCTGCGTCGATGCAAAGCAACCCCCGCAGAGGGGCCTCCGAATTGCATTCGAATCGTGGCAAGAAATTGGAAATAAAAATGTTAAGTCATCGTATTTTGTTCTAGCATATTAATTATGCTAATTATTGTTGTATATTATGATATATATGTATAATTTATATGTAGCTATATTTTATAATGTATTATAGTAATATATTATAAAATATAGTTATATATAAATTATTATCATGTATTATATGTAACTGTATTATAAAATAGTTATATATAAACTATTATCATATGTTAGTTTTATATTAATGAACACTTCGACTGTCGCGTCACCCGTACGCGGGTGGCAAAATTATTTCAAATTTCATTTCTATGCAAATTCAGCAAAACTTCGGAATTTTATTGAGATTCGCGAATTGTAAGAACGTTGAAATAGTAATCGGTGTCATAACTACGCTATATAACTTCGCTTTGCAAGTTTCATTTAATCGATTAAAATATTCCGATTCCATGAAATATTTTCAGATATTTTCGGTGCGGCCGCTGTCTCTTTTTATCCTCTGCCACCCTCGCCTCCCCCCCCCCGCCGGTGGGAGGGCGGCGGCAAATTTTCTATAAAATCGCGACTTAGTATTCTCGAATCTGCCGGTTTCGATTTCAACCTCCGAATATTTACTGTACTAGCAAATAACGAAGAAAGACGCGCGGCGGTTCGTGTCTCGGGGGCCGAGCGGAACCGAGAGGGTTGAGAAAGGGTTGCCGATAACGCAGCGGAGTCAAAATTGTCTATCTACCGTTCGCTAATTGTCGCAAATCGCCTTCGTCTCCTCGCTTTTACCCTTATCTCTGTTTTACTTTTCCTACCCTGTTGCTAGTATTTTTGCCCCATGCATAGAATAATCGTATCTCTCCTCTTCCCAAACTGTCCATCTTTGTGCGCAATCTGAGTGCGAATTAGGGAGAAATTACACGTTCGACGCATAAATTGGCATTTTCCGAAATCGTCGACGTTTTCCTCACAGCCACGCAGATTTCTTTCGTCCCTCGATAATCTCGCGACGGTGTCTTTAAATTCTCATCACAATAAATAAATAAATCGTTTATTCTCGTTGCTTCTACAATTCTTTCATCTTTCTTACAATTCGCCCGTGCGATTTGCTTTTATTATCGCCCGTGCTGCAATTAATATCGTCCCGTATATGTAAATAAATAAAATAAATAAATAATAATTATTATTATTATAATTGCAGAAGAACAGCGGGCGTGAAAGACACGGAGGACTTCGGACATCGGCGAGAGGAAGCAAGTGTCGTCGGACGAGAACGGACGAACGGACGGGGGATGAAGTAGCAGAAATCGCGGGGTCCAAGAAAACCGTCGTCGACGGCAACGAGAAAAAGACGCGAGAAGACGACGCGCGCCAGGGGCGGAGCAAGAGGAGTAGGAGGAAATAATAACGACCCCGACGTCGCAGTGCCGCAGAAAGGTTGACGACCCGATACGCGAGGCGACGCCCTCTCTCCCCTGTCGGCCTGCTATCCCCTCCTTCGCGACCTCTGCAACCACCATCCCCTGCAGCAGCCCCCGCCGCCCTCGCCACCCCCTCGGCAACTCCCACTCGGTCTAGCCACCCACCTGGCACTGCACGTCGTGAGCGCATAGCGTGCGTACGCCAGAACCACCCCTACTCCCTCTCACCCTCTCTCTCTCTCTCTCTCTCTCTAATTCTATCTCTGCGTCGCCATCGCCACCGCACCATCACCACCACCGAACCACCACCACCATCACCACCACCACCACCACCACCACCACTGCTAGCAGCAGCAGCAGCAGCAGCAGCAGCACCACAGTCACCCCACGACCGTCTGGCCAGGGTCGGGGTCATTGAACGTCTATAAAGATTTTGACTCTGCGTTACCGCTGCCGCTGAAGCCGACGCCACTGCGGATGCAGCCTGCGTCGCCCTTCGAGGGGTACGCCCTTTCTTCCTTCCTTCCTTCCTTCCTTGCTTGCTTGTTCGTTTGCTACCTTCCTTCCTTCCTTCCTTGCACGCGCAAGGTGCGCGTCGGGTTCTAAGAAAACGAGAGCCAGCCGTCTCGTCCTGGCCCTTCCCGCAAATTCAGAACCGGGGGATCGATATCGAAATTATCGAGCTCTCCTGGATTTTCGAGCGGGGTTCGCTGCGCTGAAGCGGGACGGGCACATAGTCCGCGCGAATCGGGGACGATGAACTCACCCCCCGCGCTCGGACGTCGTCGCGGCCGAACGTTAACTCGCCGCCCCGAATTACAGTTGAATTCTCCCTAATTGACGCTCGGATTGTCCACGAAAATGGACAATTTCGGGGCAGCTGGTACGATTGTTCGAGCCTCGCGACTCATTTTTATAGTTATGTGTTGAAAATGTAATTATAGATATAGGATAATATATAAATTATTGTTATATGTTATATGTATAATTGGTATGTAACTATATTTTATAATATATATTATAATATATATATTATATATATTTTATAATATATATTATAAAATATAGTTATATATAAATTATTATCATGTATTATATGTAACCTGTCTCTTATACACATCTAGATGTGTATAAGAGACAGGTTACATATAATACATGATAATAATTTATATATAACTATATTTTATAATATATATTATAAAATATAGTTATATATAAATTATTATCATGTATTATATATAACTGTATTATAAAATAGTTATATATAAATTATTATCATGTATTATATATATAACTGTATTATAAAATAGTTATATATAAACTATTATTACATATTATATATATATATATATATATAACTATATTATAAAATACAATTATACATAAACTATTAATATATATTTTATACATAATGTTCAACCCTCTCGCCGGGTTATTTCGGACCTGGAGTTCTCGGGGCCCGACTCGACCGTGTTGGACACGTGGCGCCGTTCGTTTAACCAGTTAGCTGTGTTCGACGAGTAAGTGTACTCGCTTGAGATCCGGTTAAAAATGAACTACGTTAAGATAATAATCGTAGCGATAATTAACAAGAAAACTTCTCAGTGGAATTATGCGTCTATACGCCATAAGGACCCAATCGGTGGGGGCTTCGCGCCCAACCGGCGGCGCTCCGAGGGTTAATCTCATTCGGTGAAATACCGCAGCGAAGCGTACGGCGGCCGCAGTAAACGCGTACACTCGTGTTAGTAAGTACGTGTACCGCGGCGATGCTTCGAACGCCGCGTGACACGGCCCTGGGAATCGGTTCTCTCTCGCCGTTCGTCGTCGTCCCTCGCCGTTTCACGGTGCCACTCTCGCGCGAAGAGGCAAGCACAGCTCGTCTCCGTCGTCTCGCCCCTTCCCGAGCGGATAAGAAGAACGCTTTCTCGAAGGAGAGCAAAGTGCCGAGGGGGAAGACAAAGGGGCCAAGGGGGGGAGTAAACGTTCGCCTCGAAACCGACGGAAATTTTCGTCGGCGCCCATCCCCCGAGCCTCTCTATCTCTCTCTCTCTCTCCCTCGCCCCTATCCCCTTCTAGATAGAAAGCCGAGGCCCGGCGGGGGTGCGGATTTGCCGCGTCTTGCGCCAGGGTCAGAGGTCGTTGAACGTCGGTAAAGATTTCGACTCCGGCGATGCTGTTCCGCGGTAAATAGGTGTGTGCGTAAAGGACTGCCGCGTTTCTCCCACCGGCCGGACCCGGCTCCGCGAGGGTGGAGAGGACTCGACTCGGCTCGACTAGACTCGGAGATGGAAGACGACGCTCCCCACCATGCGTACGCTCCCCCCTCCATGCGGCCCGCGTATAGTCTGTGTAATCCGGGCACGGCACGCGGATGCCATTACCAGCCGCGGTAAACCGCAAAATAGTCGAAGGAAAAATGGCTCGCGTTCTCATCCCTCGGGAATATATTAGGTCATCCGACAACGACGGCCCTGCCGGCGGCCGCAGGCTTCGTCGTTCAACGCGTTCCGTTCGAACGAAAGGCTCTCGCGGACCAGGAATTGTTCGTCCGAGATCGGT